GCTCCTTGGAATATATCCTAGAGAAATAAGAGCCGTCACACAAATAGATATACGCACACCCATGTTCACTGCAGCACTGTTCACAATAGCAAAAAGATGAAAGCAACCAAGGCACCCATCAACGGACGAATGGATAAGCAAATTATGGTATATCCACACAGTGGAATATTGCGCAACAATGAAGAACAATGATGAAGCTATGAAACATCGTATAATGTGGTGGAAGCTGGAACTTATTATGCCGAGTGAATTTAGTCAGTCACAGAAGGGCAAATACTGTAAAAGACCACTATTATAAGAACTCAAGAAAAGGTTTAAACACAGAATAAAACATTCTTTGATAGTTACAGGGGTGGGGAGGGAGGGGGAGGGTTATTCACTAACTAGATAGTAGATAAGAATCATCTTAGGTGAAGGGAAGGACAGCACACACTACAGGGGAATCCAGCACAACTGGACTAAACCAAAGCTAAGAAGTTTCCTGAATACAATCAAATACTTTGAGAGCCAGAGTAGCAGGGATGGGGGTGTCTGGAGACCACGCTTTCATGGGACATCTAGGACAACTGGCATAACAAAGCTTCTGAAGAAAATGTCCTGCATCCTACTTTGGTGAGTGGCATCTGGGGTGTTAAAAGCTTGCAAGTGGCCATCTAAGATGCATCAATTGGTCCCAACCACTTGGAGTAAAGGAGAACGAAGAACACCAAAGACACAAGGAAAGTATTAGCTCAAGAGACAGAATGGGCCACATAAACCAGAGACTTCATCAGCCTGAGACTAGACGAACTAGATGATGCCCGGCTACCACCAATGAACGTCCTGACGGGGAACACAACAGAAGGTCCCTGATGGAGCAGGAGAAGGATGTGGTGCAGAACTCAAATTCTAGTAAGAAGACCAGACTTAATGGTCTGACTGAGACTGGAGGCACCCCAGAAAGCATGGCCCCTGGACTCTCTATCAGCCCAGAACTGAAACAGTTTCTGAGGCCACCTCTTCAGACAGGGATTGGACTGGACTGTGGGACATAAAGTGATACTCATGAAGAATCTGCCTCTTAGTCAAGTAGATACAAGAGACCAAAGGGGCAGCTTCTGTCCAGAGGAGAGATGGGAAGTCAGAGAGAGTTAAGAGCTGGTTGAATGTTCATGGGGAATCAGGGGCGGAGAGGAGGAGTGTGCTGTCGCAGAATGGGGTGAGTGGTTGGGGTCTCATAACGATGTCTGTAAAAAAAAAAAAAAAGAAATTTGTATGGGAGACTAACTTGAAATGTAAACTTCATTTAATTACAACAATAAATAAATTAATTAAAAAAAAAAAGTGGTTTATTCATTAACATTAGGTCAGTGTGGTAACAGCTAATAACTTACCATTAGAATAGTGGGTCACTTTCTCCCCTATGCTCTTGAGAAAGAACAAAAAAGGAACTAGATTTCAGAAAGAATACATGTTATATCTAAAATGACTTAGAATGTCAGATAAGCTCCTAGCTATCTGACATTCTAAAATTCTCCAAAAATAAGCCTTAGTTGTCATCATGCTGATTAACTCCCACACTGGCTGTGAAGAAGGAGTTCAAGCCTCACTGCTAAGCAGTCATTCTGGCACCAGGCTCAGAGCGTCCCTTCAGTGAGTCTCTTGCCCAGACACCAGCACCTCCTTATTGCGAAGTCCAACGGACAACTGCCCATGCTTGGCCAACCTGCCCTTCCGGCATCATCCAACACTGCTGACCATGCTTCTCACTTGGCTTAGCTAAAGTCCCTGTCTAGTGTCCCCCCTGCCTCACTCCTTCATGCCTTCGACAACCTCTCCATGCCAGGACTGGGGACCCAGCAGTAGTAGAATACTCTTACTCTCCTGGGCACTCCTGATATCCTGGGCCAGATGCTTCTCTGTTGTGGGGGGCTATCCTGTGCATTGTAGGATATAACAGCATCCCAATTCATCTTCTTGTCTCTCTGCGTGTCAGTCTCTTGTGCCTGAAGAACCCCTGACCACCTTCAAAGAAGACTCAGATGAAGTATCTTCTCCCTGACCTCACCCACCGCCCCACCAGCATGGGAGTGTCTCACCTGCAATGACCACCAGCAGAGCACTGTAAGCTGCACTGTGACAGCCTCCTGCCCCTCTGCCTCCCCGTGAGCTTAATTTCATATTCCTGATACCCAAAAGAGGACCTGGCATATGAAGGTGCTCAGTCAGTGTCACTTGAACCCGCGCGTGGACAATCTGTAAGGCACACCAGCAGTCTGGCTCATCCAGGAACAGGCAGAGTCCAACAAAAGCCTTTGTGGACCAGCCAGAACTCCTTCAAGCCCAGGGACAGGGCAGGCAGGTGGGGACAGAGAGGAGAGTAGACAGTGGACACCAGCTGGGAGAGGAAGGTGAGTATAGCTGCCTGTGACCTTTCAAACAGGATGAATTAGAGAAAGACAAATTGGGAAAAATTAACATAATTCTAAATATACTTGTTCTCTCTTTCCGGGATTCATCTAGTTGGTGGTTCTAATGTGGAGCAATAGAAATTTCATACTGAAGTTGATCACTAGAAAGAATCTTACGTTTTAGAGGTAGCATCTCACTACCCCGTGCGGGAGCTGGAGGGCAGTCATGTCACATGCTGGCTATGTGAACTGGGTGGACTCTGGCCTCTGGACCGCCCTGGAAGGAGGCCTTCTGCACTCCGGGGGCACCTAAACCCCCACAGAGGGTCCTGGGGGGGACAGTTGCAGGACTGACCTGGAGGTGTCCACCAGGCAGTGCCAGCAGAGTACAAAACAGAGCACTCAGCCCTGCCCCAGCAGGTCTTAGCCTCTGCGTCTCCACCTGTAGTTTATGAACACAAAAAAAGCCAGACCAGGCTCCCAGAAAACATTTTCACTGCATCTCTCCCTTCTTAAAAAAACTGTCAAAGACCACTACCACCCAAATCTCTTCACCTGGTATGGCCTGGCATTCAAGCTCTTCCACCTTCTACCCCATTCTCCACCATCAGTCCACAAGACCTCCACGCAGTGCTCTCACTCAACTACCAAACAGGTGCCCTACCTGAAACACCTCTCCCTCTCCCTCAACACCTTTCTAAATTCTACTCCCTCACCATGTGTGCTCTCAGGCCCACATACCCTCATCTCCTTCTGACTCCTGACCTCTTCTGCCAGTCCTAACCCAAATGTATGTCAGTGGTGCTTCCGTCTACTTATTCATTCAGCCCATCAAATCCTCACTGTCGCTGGCTACTGCGGGTCTTAGAAGCAAGAAGGATGTCTTGTACTACTCCCTGGATGCTAGAACCTCTTTTAAAAAAAAAAAAAAAAAACCAAACCCGTTGCCGTCAAGTGGATTCCAACTCATAGTGACCCTATAGGACAGAGTAGAACTACCCCATAGAGTTTCTAAGGAGCACCTGGTGGATTCAAACTGCCAACCTTTTGGTTAGCAGCTGTAGCTCTTAACCACTACACCACCAGGGTTTCCTAGAACCCCTTACACACAGTTAATACTCAAACACTATTTGCTGAATTAATCTGAACGTGAAGATAGCCTCTTGCCTTTCAACTCTCACCTACCAAGACTTGGCATTCAAGAGGCGCAGAAGTCATAACTGAGAGAACTAGCACGTCCCAGGAATGGAGGAGGGTCGCAGGGTGTATGGACAGGTCCTAAGGCCTTGTGTTGAGCGTGTGCATGAATAGAAGCTATGGGAGCCGATGGGATCACAGTAGTATACTCAAGGAGGCCCTCAGTCCACTACCTGCACGAGATGCCTGTGCGCGTGCTCATAGGAGGGCAGCGCTCCCTCCCCAATCAGCTCCGTGTCAAACAGCTCTGTGACCAGGATGTTGGCACGGCATGGCATGTCACCATCTGAGAAACACAAGGAAACAGAGTCAGAAGCAAGCAACAGACTAGAAAAAATATTTACAGCAAATATGAGCAAGACAAGGAGCCCTGGTGGCACGATGGTTTAGTGCTCAGCTGCTAACCGAAAGGTCAGCAATTCGAACCCACCATCCACTCCATAGGAGAAAAGACCTGGCAATCTGCTTCCATAAAGACTGCAGCCTGTGAAACCCTATGGGGCCATTCTACTCTGTCATATAGGGTCACTATGTCAGAATCAACTTGATGGCACACAACAATATGTGCAAGACAAAAAGTTACATAAGTCATTAAATTAAAAACCTACACATATGCCGAGTATTTAGAGGTGAAGTGTCATGGTGTCTGCAACTGACTTTCTAATGGCTCAGCAAAAAAAATGCTAACATATATATACAGATATATAAAAACTCTTAGCTGTCGAGTCAATTCCGACTCACAGCAATCCTACAGGACAGAGTAGAACTGCCCCATAGGGTTTCCAGGGAGCAGCTTGGCTGATGGAGTTGAACTGCTGATCTTTTGGTTAGCAGCCGAGCTCTTAACCACTGAGCCACGTGTGTGTATGTATATATATATGCATACACACACACATATATATAAACATATATATATAAACCAAACCCGCTGCCATCAAGTCGATTCTGACTCAAAGCAACCATACATACGTATGCATGTACACACACACATATTTAGATTTTTTTTAATGGAAAATGCTAACAATTGGTAAAACTACATTAAGGGAATATGGGTGTTCACCATGCTATTCTTTCAACTTCTGTATATTTGAATATTGGGGGATGGGAGGGGAGGAACGTGCAAAAACTGATAAGAAAACTATAAATGCCCAAAAAGAAAACCAAGCAAAAATACAAACAGATAATTCAGAACAGAAAAAAATTAAACAAACATGGAAGATTTTTCATCCTTATTAGCAGCTGGAGAGATATAAATGAATAACTAAGGCAGTGATATTTGGCTATTAAAATCACCAAAAAAATTAGCAAAAAATTATTTGAAAAGCAAAAACTGAATGCTGGTACTTCAGATATTTCTGGGCTGTGGAGAGAGAAAACCAAAGCAGAGAGAGGGGCTGCCCGATGGTCTTCCAGTCACTGTGCAACCAGCTGCAGTGACCAAAACTGAGACCCAGATTCAGAATTCTCGGTCCCCGATATTAATTCCCCTGGTAAGTTAGTTTCTTGCCTCCAAACAATCCCTCAAATAGTAGTTGTTTTAGAATAGTAGGATTATAGAGGATCTTTCTGTTAGCTCTATATTCTAAACCTTCTACAATGTAATGTTACTTCTGCAATTACAATTTTTAATGAGCCAAAAAAACACAATAGACTTTGGAAGGGGTTATTCATCATGGAGAATTAACTGTAAACACTCCTAAATGGCTCATAAATTCCAATCTCACAGAGCCCACTCATCTTCCCTCACAGAAGACAAGTCTCATGGATGATGAAAGAAGAGAAGCAGTAAAGTGGCTCAAGGAAGGGTGTAGGAAGAGAACATTTTTACAGTAAAGGGAAGACTGTCCTTTTCAGAGGAAAAAGTTGCCTTAGGTAAATGTTTCAGTTCTAAAATACTGCATTTGTTTTAATTATGGTAATAATTATAACCTCACCATAGAATTTTTTTACACAAATCTTTCAACTGTGCTGTTACAGATGGATCTGTGTCCCCCAAAACTGTGTTGCAAATCCTAACCTCTGCCTGTGGTTATAACCCCGTTTGTGAATGGGTTGTGTTTGTTATGTTACTGAGAAAGGAGTAGGTTATGTCAATGAGGATTAGATGTTTATTATGTTAATGAGGCAGGATTAGGATGTATCTTGAGTCAATCTCTTTTGAAATATAAAGAGATTAAATAAACAAGCAAGAGAAGAGATGGGGGAAGAGAGAAGTCAAGCCACATGAAGATAGCCTGGGAGCAGAAGCCCAAAGAGACAAGGACCTTCCTCCAAGCTGACAGAGAGCCTTACCCTAGAGCTGGCTCCCTGAATTTGGACTTCTAGCCTCCTAAACTGTAAGAAAACATATTTCTGTTTGTTAAAGCCATCCACTTGTGATATTTCTGTTATAGCAGCACCAGATAATTAAGATATGTGCTCTGCAGGTATCAAAGGTACCATGTGAAATTTTAGAGGTCTGATTCAAACTCCTAGACTATAAAATATATTCTAGAAATCTCAAGAGATTGTGATATACAGAGAAGTTTCTCATGCTGTATGTTAAGGCAGTATGCCAGAACTAAGCAAATCCCTTTCTGCTGTGTAATTAGTTTCACTTCTGTCTGACTAAACTCAAGGATTGACCCACACAATTCCAACTTGCTTAAAGCAGCAAAAGGAAGTTTCATCTGTCACAACTATTGCACTTGATTAGCTCCTTTTATTCATTGCTGGTTTTAGCCGGTAAAGAAACAAGTGTTTATGTTGAGAGCCACCACAAAGCCAAGGCTCCATTTCTCTGCAATTACCTGAGTACACTTTTTCCACCTGAAACTTTTTCCTCTCTCATGCAAGACCAAGTAAATCTTCAACACAGGATCTGCTGATCTCACCTGGTCCTACCGTTACCTCAGTGGAATGCTTGTTGATAATCTTAATCTTATCACTGAAGCCATTTTTCTCCACTATCTTCACAGCTGCATCAGCCATAGGCTTAAAGACCTAGAAATCAGAGCAAACACTCAACTAAAAATGAGCAACAAAGTGAGTTACACCCTAACACCCAAGGCTAGCAGGACACTCCGAGGTTCTGGTCCTGAGATTTGAAGTAGAAGAGGCCTCCTCCTGAACATACAAAGTGTACTTTGTTACTGTTGATGATACAGGGAAAATACTTCTTTGGTGCTGATTTGATCTAAATAAACAAGACGTCACTTGGGTGACTTCCAAATGTTTGTCATGGAAATGAATGCAAGAGTGAGTTTCAGTTAGGTTGGCTTGCTGTATTTTCATGCCCAGTACAGTGGGGACGCTGAGGTTCCCGAAGAGGCCTCACTTCTGAGTGAGGATGGCAGGTGTTGGTGCCACACTAGAGGGGCACCAAAGAGCAGTGGGAGCCAGGAGGGAACTGGCCTCACAAAACCACGATCTGTGGCCTGGAAGTCTGTGACTTGGGACAAGTGTTGTGCTCTCTAGAGGACTGTGTTAGACATAAGTGTGAGCAGGTCACTCTCCTGCTCAAAACTGAAATCCCCACTCTTGGCCCAACACAGCCTACCATCTTTTTAATGGCATTCGAGGCCCTACACGATACAGCCCACATTTTTGTTCTGGCCTTACCTCCCCCATACCCCACTGCCCAATGCTCCAGTCACACTGATCTCCTCACAGTCACTAAACAAGCCTGAGCCTTCCCTGCCCTAAAGTCCCTCCCCAACCACCTGCCAAATCAAACCCAATGTCCCAGGGCTGCACTGATGTCACCCGCTCCATAAGTCTTCCCTGAACCCTTCAGTTGAGTGTAGGTATGGTTGAGTAGGGAGCTGGAAGGAATCTAGGTAGAGCACCCTGGACTGCTGACCTGTGGACTTCATGTAAGAAAGCAAAAATGTCTACCTTGTTTAGGCCACTGTTACTTTGGACTTTGTTATTTGTAATTCAGTCACCACATCAATCCAATTTTGTCAGGGAAAGTATTTAAGAACATGCTTAACTACACTCTCAAAAAGCTTAAAAGAATACTGTATTTTTACGCAAATAAGCATGCCTTCTATGTTTGTTTGCCAATCTCGCCCTCCCACTCCCCGTCGAAGTATTTTCATAAGTGCCACTATGCCAATTTTTTTTTACATGTTGCTGCAAAAAAAATTAGCATAGCACGCCTACAAAAATACCTCGAGGGGGATGGTGCAGTTGGCAAACAAATGTAGGAGTCATACGGTATTTGTGTAAAAATAGTGTATGTGCCAAATTTTAACAGCGGTTAATTTGGCTTAAAAGGCTATTTTTATATCGTATTTACCAAATTTACTACAGTGATATGAATCATTTACATTACCAGAAAACAACGACTAATGTTTTATTAAGGGGAAAAAAATGACAGACTGAAAAATATTTACATTCTCAGAATACAACGTTTAATGTTTTATTAAGAAAAAAAAGACAGACTGCAAAACTATTGGTAAGCATAACAGGACAGCTGTCTCTGTAGGGATATTTAAGGCAACAGTTCTCAACCTTGGCCACACAAACAAAAATCAAATGCCCAAGCCACACCCTAGAATAATTACATCAAAATCTCTGTGAGTGGGACTATGTATTAGTATTTTTAAAGCTTCTCGGGTGATTCCGATATGCAGCCAAGACTGAGAATCACTGTTTTCAGAGGAGAAAACAGGGACTGTGTGATTCACCTCTGTACCTGGCAACAGAACTTCCCTGTGCTCGGTGCAGCGTGAGCATTCCATGAACGTAAGTGAACAAACGGAGGGGAACGTGCATGGGGCACAAGGGACTTCGTGTGCAAGGCACAGGACACACACCTGAGGAATGTGGCTTACCTCGATGGCGTAGCAAAAGTCGGCACCTGCCGTGACTGCCATCATTGACAAGAGTCCTGTTCCGGTACCAATGTCGAGAACCAAGGCCTTCTGTCCTCTCTCCTTCACCCTGCTCACAGCAGCCCGGATCCCCTGGTAATATTTTACATTCTAAGAGAAAGGGAGAAATAGTTGTCACTTCATCAGTTATTACAAGTGAAATACATGTGGAAAAGTGCTTTGTAAAGTCACAGTTGACAGCAACAGTGTTAAGAAGCCTTTCTGACCTCTCCAGGAACAACACCAGTTAGCTACCAGGGCAGGCCTTGCTGAGACTTCAAGAGCACTGTGCCAGCCTCTTGCCCTTTATTAAGCCACTGTCTCTCCCCTCCACACCCACTCTTCCCTGCTCTGCAAACCATTCTCCCTTCCCAGCTGTTAGGTATGGCCAGTAGGGGGAACTAGAGGGCAGCTGGGAGGTAGGAAGAAGAAGGCTTGCTCCTTCCTGTAAGTCTGCTGCTCTCCTCAGGGTCTACCAGACTCCAGCTTAGTTTAGCACTCCCATGACCAGCCTCCTTGGCCCCTCAGAGGGATCAGCAGCACTCCCTCCCAGAGATTTGAGCACCAGCCCCACAGGGCCTCTCCTCCCCATTTCTTCTTTGTTTCCCCAAGCCTAAGCAAGGTAACTGCTTCTTGGATTTACTACCACTGGGTTACCGCAGTGGTCCCATTTGCTCTCCTGTCCTCCCCCACCTGTGTAACCAATTCCCTATATTAAATTCCCTCTACTGAAATATGCATTGTGGCTTCGATTTTCCTGCCCGGACTTTAATTCATATAGCCTCCTTGTCTAAAAATTGTCTCCCCACCTTAGGAAATCATTTCTTTACATCTTACAGACCTATGGCTAAGGTCTCTAGTAACTTAAACAGATACACTTTCCATATGTAACAGTTTGGCTGAATAGGTACTCTGATCATTCAGTTGAAAATGATGGAAAAATGACAGAAAAAAAATTTGTAAATTTTTTAAAATGCATATATGTCCTGGCAAATTAGTAAGGAATATTAAGAGGCCAAAAACCAAGTTAAAGCAGGAACAGATAGGTAAAAAATGCTTAGAAGCCGGCTTTTACCTGGAGGGCACTGGCCAAGCCTACTGAGCTTCTGTTTTCACAACCTCACTAAAAGAAATTCTAAAGGGCAACTCCCATGGAATTTAAACTTTATGGAGTTGTTGGGGCTGGATGAACTCCAAAAACTACTGCTCTGAGATAATCTTTAAACCTTAAACCAAAACTATCCCGAGGTCTTCTTTAAACTAAACAGTAGTTTAACTTAACTAGGAAAAAAGGTCTGCTTTGAGCATTATGCTCATTTAAGAACTATCTATTTGGGATCAAACTGATAACAGCAACCAGAAAGATCGGAAATTTAGGGAACAGTGAGTTTATGTTAATGGAGGAGGAACAATTTAGAAAAGGAGGGTGAAAATGGCTGCACAATTTGAAGAATGTAATCAACATCACTGAATTGTACATGGAGAAATTGCTGAATTGGTATATGTTGTGCTGTGTATCTTCTCAATAAGAACACATTTTTTTTTTTTTTTAATTCTAAAGAATGTTCTTTAGGGGGAAAAAAAAGTTTCAGATGGAAGCTCTGAGAAATAAGAAATAAAAAGAAACTGATAAATATGTGACCAAAGTTAAACAAAGAATTGCTGGAACAAGGCAACAACTGTAATACCTCATGGAATTTAAAAACTAAAGCAAAATTCATTACTACAACAGCATGTAAGTCAGAAGGTGGGAGTGACTGGAGTTCAAACTATAAGTTTCTTTTTGAAGGATACATACTAGGTAGTAAAACTGTAAAGAGAGCAAGGGAATGACTAATATAAAATTCAAGACAGTGGAAACTTCTGGGAGGAGGGAAAGAAATGCAATCAAGAAGGGACACACAGGAATTCTGAGTAATGGTAATGTTCTATTTCTTAAGCTGAGTGGTGAGTCTATCAGCATTTAATCTAACATTCCTCTTTAAACTGTACACACACATTTTATACATTCTTTTGTATATATATGCCAAGAATTTTTTAAAAAATAAGAATGATACTAGATCTCAAAATAGCAACAAGGGGAGAGGCGGGAACAAGATGGCAGAGTAGTCAGACGCTTCCGGTGGACCCTCTTATGACAAAGACCTGAAAATACAAGTGATTTGATTATATATGTCAGTCTGGGAGCCCTGAACATCAAAGGCAGGGTTGAGGAACCGGATGGAGTGGCAGGGGGAGGGAGAGACGGTTCCGAAGCAGCGAGGAGTTGCGAGACCTGACTCGGCGAGACCCCAAGCCCTTCAGGCCTGAGCAGCTTGTGGGTTAGCAGTGAGGCAGGCAAGCGGCAGTCCTTGGGAGGCGCATTTTCCACACGGGGAGAGACCCAGTGCCAGAGAGTCTACACGGGCACCCAGAACCAATGAGAAGCAGCCCTCATTGTCGAAAGATAAGTAATTGTGTATGGCGTACCTCGCAGATCAAAAAACCCCCCTTAGGGAAAAACCTCTCTCCCATTTACTTCCCCACTCCGTGCTCTGCATTGGGTCTTGGATGGCTTCAGCAATTGCCGAAACCCCTGGGCCGGAAGTAGGATCCATCACATGCCTGGAACCATTCTCCCTGCCTTAGAGAGTGAACAAATTAACAAACAGGGGGAAAAAATAAACTGCCAGCTCCCCTAAGCCAGGAACGCAGGATAGGCACAGCTCCTTTGCCTAGGCACAGGCATAAGGGATCCACGGACACTGAGTGCCTTTCCCCCTGCATAGACTTGTGTGGGCCCATCTAAATAGCGTAGGCCCTCACTACCGCAGTACAATAGTGTATGTACCAGAACTCTAACTTCAACTGTTTCAGCTCTGAAGTGGCAGGTTCTTGACATTTAACACTACTCTGCCCATTAAGCAGGGTCTTCACCTACCCACATCAGGGGCCTGAGGACTGGTGGCTCCACCCATGCCACCTACCCACCTGTGAGAGGGGCCCATGAATAAGAGGTGCCCCCCAGTCCTTACAGCCAACAGCATTAGATACTCACAGTCCAGCTGGAAAACCCATCCACCTATGCGCTCTAGGGAACAGAGACACACCTTCCTCCTGGACACTCGGGGGCGGCCGTCAGCCCCCTGCCTTGCTCAGAGTGTGTCTCCAGGCTGCAGCGAGATGCCTATGCCTACACCAATCACCCATCACCCATGCCTGTCTAGGACTGCAAGTGAGAGCCTACACCACACACTTGGTGGCTATCTACCTGGGGACCTGAGCTGAATCCATCCAGGAGGAGGAGCTCACATACCTTGTAACAGATCTAACCACTTGGTGACAGGACACTAGAGATTCAAAGGTGCCAATAATCAAACTAGCTCATGCATGCAGCCTATCTGGGCGTATCAAAACAAAACAAGAAGCTAGGACACAGCAAACATAAAATAAACAAACATAATAACTTATTCATGGCTCAGAGACAACAGTCAATATCAAATCACATAAAGAGGCAATCCATGATAGCTTCAGCAAGCTCCCAAAATAAAGAATCTAGAAATTTTCCAGAGGAGGAAAATTTCTTGCAATTATTGGAGGCAGAATACAAAAGATTAATATACAGAACTCTTCAAGAAATGAGGAAGGAAATTAAGCAAAACGCAGAACACACAATGGAGGAAATTAAAAAAGATTAGAGAAGAGCATAACAACAAATTAAACAGGCTACAAGAATCCATAGAGAGACAGCAATGAGAAATCCAGAAGTATTAACAATAAAATTTCAGAATTAGACAACTCAATAGAAAGTCATAGGAGCAGAACTGGGGCAATGGGAGTCAGAATTAGTGAGACTGAAGATAAAGCACTTGACACCAACTTATTTGAGGAAAAATCAGATAAAAGGATTTAAAAAAATGAAGAAACCCTAAGAATTATGTGGGACTCTATCAAGAGCAATAACCTATGAGTGATTGGAGTACCAGAACGGGGGCAATAAAAGAAAATACACAGAGAATTGTTGAAGATT